AGAACAAATCTGGAATTTAGGACAAGTCAATAATGAAATAAAATCAATGATAAGAAACCTAGAATTCAAGGTAAATAAGGCAAATCAATAGTGAAATTTAAGCAATTAGGACGATAAATGTGGTGTCTGATTGATTTGAGCTTGACTTCAAAAATCAAAAGTACCTGGAGGTCCCATGTTCAAATCCAAGGAAAATATAAATCCTTTTGTGACCACGGAGGTTCAAATACGATGACTCCAAACTATCTACAAAACAGATAATCGTTCTAAGATTAGTCGACTCGCATAGTAGGTTATATATTAAGTTAATAATTTTTTTTTTCTTTTCTTATAAGTTTAAAATAGAATTGGAGTGAATATATTGGTGGGACCAAACTCGAAAGAGGTGTAATAAGAGCCATTATTGTAGTGGCGAGGGTTGATGTGATGGTTTGAGGGCCTAAAGAGGCAATACACGTGATGTCCTAAACTACATGTTTTTAGTCATTTTTATTATTTTCGTTTCTTCTGAAAATTACAAAACTTATTTTTTGTATTTTTTTTTAATTTCATGGTCTTTTAATATACATATATATATATATATATATATATATATACAACACGTGTCTATTTCAAAGACACATCGATCCTCCAACCCACCCGTAGTCTCCTTCACTTATAAACTCCCTCTGCATCACAACAAAAAAAGGCATACAAATCGTCATCTTTCTTTTGGATCCAATTAATCCTTTTAACATCAAATAATTACATATAAATATTATTAATTTATATATATTACACGTAACCAAATTAGATAAATATATATATATGTAATAATTAAATATATTTTAATAATTAAATAAGTTATATTGTAATAATTAAACAAGTTAATATATAGTTAAAAAAAAAGTAAAATGTAATTTTTCACAAAAATCATGATAAGAACCAAGGTTTTTGTTCAAGCACCTATGGCATATTAGGTTCTTATAAGAACCTCTACGCAATGGTAGTTTTTACAAGACATTGCACTTTTAGCTTAGAAGAACCTTATTTGGAGATGTTCTTAGATGGAGGGTCATGATGGGATCACGAAAAAGGTGTGGGGAAAAATTACGGCGTGGATGATTGATCTATGCAATGGTAGTTTTTATAAGATATTGTACTTTTAGCTTAGAAGAACCTTGTTTGGAGATGCTCTTAGATGGACGGTCATGGTGTTGGGGATCACGAAAAAGGTGTGGGGAAATATTACGGCGCAGATGGTTGATCCCTAGGGGATGATTGTTCGGGGTTGTAGGAAAAAATCATGAAAAAATGAACGTGGAGGATGGTCGCGATAGGAAGGGCCTGAGGAGAAAGAGGCTACAATTGTAGTTGAAATGGTGGATCTGTTATGACATGATGGAGGTGCGGGTGGTGTGTGAGAGAGAGAGAGAGAAGTTGCTGATCAAGGGTTTTCTTCGGTAAGGAAAGCGAACAGTGAGATAGGGTCAGTGGAAGGGGGGGTGGGGGTAGAGAAGGACAACAAAAATTCAAAATGTCACCAAATAGAACATTTATTAAGATACTGATAAGGTATGGATGAACCGTAAGTGTTACCATAATTTTTTCTGTATTTAACAAAAAGAAAATCTAATCGTATCATAAAAAATGAGATGTACGTATGAATAATCAAAAGCATTTGAATATTGGGCATCCCAATTATATTGTTCCATGAGAAGGGAAGAGAAGTTGCAAAGCAACCGGGTTAGTAGTAAAACCAGTTGTATCTCAACTTATAGTTCACAAATTATGTAACATGTAACATATTTTGGAGCGGTTTCAACTTTGTTATCAAAATCAGATAAGACTTTTCCAAAGTAAAAATAAGCTTTTCAAATCTAACCGATTATATTGATGTGCAAATGTTTAGATTAAAAATGATGAATATTATGATATTGGTTTATACACTATACAAACAAACACATATCCTTATGTTGCTGCCTCAGGCGTTTAACTCAGTTGGCAAAGGGACAAGATGACTTTGTGCGAACACAAGACATGTCTCGAGTTCGTTTCACCCCCACCCATCGCGCTAACCTCAACCACTGAGTAAGCCAAAAGAAAGCCCTCTTATGATGGTGTCTTTGGAGGCGGGTTCCGTGTGGGGTCAGTTGAGGTTTCTAGTAATCAACTTTGCCCAAATATTTTTATGTTGCTTATATAAGATGAACTAATCATATCTTAATCCATGCAAGTACCACTAACTGATACATGACATACCCAACGACCAGTACTAATCATTTCCATATTACTTCAACCTTAAGCCCGAAGTAATCTTTGACTAGGGATATTTTGGATACAATATTCTAAAATTATTTTTACATTTAAGTGTAACACAAAAAAAATATACAAACATAAAAAATGGGCAGTGACTTTCATTAATAAATATCGTCAAAAAAGTCCAAACATACAATCGTTTTTGGCATACAGTAACAATCTCCAACTTGCACTAAAGCCAACCTGCCATTTCTATCATACTTCACCACTAACAACCACACCATACACCACCAATATCCTCCCTCTTTCTGCTTCCTTATCTATCGTGCTTCACCACCAAGTAACAACCACACCCCTCCATAAATGCACATCAATATCAAAACCGATTCACAAACATACAAATATGCGAAAAATCATTCACGGACATATACAAACACACATCAATATCAAAACTTGTTCCCAAACCCGTTCTCATTCTTCTTTTGATCTCAAAGTGTCTCGCTGTAGGGGGTTTAGAACGAAGATGTGGGAAAGAAAATGGGGAAAAGAGAAGAATAGGGGATACGAGTTTGTGTATGTGTTCTATAGGAATTCATCATGGGTGTGTGTGTTTTTCCTAGGGATTTCACCATGCTTGTGTGTGTATATGTGTGTTTCCATAGATTTCATGGTTTTGGGGCTGGTTGGAAAAGCAGTAAATGGGTAGGGCTGTAAAAATGAACATGAACGAAGACTTGTTAATGTTTGTTCGTTTAACTTAACCGAACAAACGAACGAACACGAATGGTAAAATGAACGAAAATCTTTGTATTCGTGTTCATTCAATTCATTTAGAAACCAGGTGTGTTCGTGTTCGTTTATGTTCGTTCGTTAACATGCTAAACGAATGTAAACGAACGGGCTAAATGAAAATAAATAAATATTATTTGAATTCAAAGTAAATAAATAAAATATTATATATTAAATTTAATATATAAACGAACGGTAGGCGAACGTTCACGAACATAAATGAACGAACAAGACTCTTGTTCATGTTCGTTCGTTTAATTAAACGAACAAAAAAAAATTGTTCATGTGCATTCATTTATTAAATAAACGAACATAAACAAACCTCCGTAGCCACAAGGGGATTTTTATTACTCATTGGATTTGAACCTGAGACCTCCTGATACTTTTGACCTTTGGAGTCAAGCTCAAACCAATTAGGCACCACCCTCGAATCAAATCCTTAGAGTAGAGAATTTTATGAAATCAACCCAAAACACCGAATAATTCCCTCGAAGTCAACAATAAAAGGGGAAAATTCTTTCGAAATCAACAAAAAAAAACTATAAAGCCCTCCGAAATAACCAAAAACCTTAAAGAATCTCTAAAAAAACGAAATTCAGTGAAAAACACATCAAGCGGCTTTACGAGCATTTGATCTAATTTAAATGTACACCTGCTCGGCTAAAATCCTGGGTCTGCCACTGTGCAAAATAACTCATGTCACAATAAAATTGAGTTTATAAGACACTTAAAATATCTAAGTATCGTAATAGAATATCTTATAAGGCTTTATGTAACCACAAAACAAATCGTCCAATCTAGAAGTGTTACAATATATTTATAAATCATCTTTAGAGATTTTAACAGTTTTTAAAAAATTATCAAATAAAATGTCGTTTAACCTATCTGACAAGACAATTTAATTTTGAGAAGTATCTTATAAACCCATCTTAATTTTTACAGGATATTTATTTTTGTAAAAATTCTTTTTTTAAATAAATATATTATATATCTAAGTTGATCTCAATTTGACCTTAAACTAGATAATAATAAAATCATTATTTTTTTAGAAACTCAATTTTATTTATTTATATATTTATTTATTGGTCATTATTTTTCTTAGAAACTCAATTTTATTTATTTATTTATTGGTTTTTTATTAAATGAAAATGGTGATGTTTAAATAGCCGCCAGACATGACAAAAGAGGGATGGACAAAGAGGGAGGGAGAGATGCCCAAACACAAGCCAACCAAATCCTAATAATATCTACAGACATCTGTACGGACGGAATGGTACCAAAATACAAAAGTTATTTGAAAGTTGTTAAATAGTTTGGTGTAAAATGATTAATTGATCAAAATGATTAATTGGTCAAAATGATTAATTGGTCAGAATGATTAAGAGACTTTCATGATATAGTGCAAAATGAAATATAATTGTTTGGTAATTGTTTACAATGAAATCAGGACGCTTAATGGTTAAGAGAGACTCATGGTACAAATCATTTAGAGGGTTTTAGAACCATTAAGAGGCAGATTTTTCTTTTGTCAAACAAGATTCACTTCTTAATGATTCAGATAGAGTCTTTTAATAAAACTATTAAAAGGTAAAGAAACAACCCTTAATAGCACGTAATAAACATGAAAATCACAATTAAAATATTAAAAATCACTAATATATGTCTTGTTTTATATTACTAAATAATATATATATATTATTGATTTACAATAAGAAATAAACATATGTAAATCAAACCCTTTAATAAAACAAAGGATAGGTTAAATTTTTTTTTATGGGTTCTTAACATATTTATAGTTAAGCACTTATGGGGTAAACATATAAGTAAACGGTACCTTAGTAAAAATATGATCAATTTCTTTTTGAAATTAGCGTTTTTTAGGCATTCAAAAAATAAGACAAATAAAACCGGTGTTGTAAATTTGCCCTAAAATCGAATATAACTTATAAAAGTAACTAATCAACCGATCGATCGATAAAAAAATGAATACATTACCATCGGATAGATATAACCGTGCTGTGAATCGATGATCGGTTTGTCGGTAACATTTATCGACCTCTGAATTACCCGAGAGGTAAAATAAATATTACCTACAAATCCATTTTATACGTCATTGATTATTTACTACACAATACACGATCAAGACTGTCATCTGGGGAGGGAACATGGTGCCCTAATTATGAAGACTCAAAGTCAGAAGGCAACGATGGGGAGTAATTTTGAAGCATCTGTGGAGTCATCAAATCATCCATAACTTGATCTTCTCTGCAACCGTATTCATAAGAAAGATCCGATCCAGTAGTAAATCGTGCATCCATAGTGGTACCTTTGCGTTGCCACTTTTCTTGATGGTGCCGGAAATCATGGCCGCCACCTCCGGCAAAACCTGCTTCTTCGTTTGGAACTCCGGTGAGTTCTTCGAGTGGAGGGGAGGTGGCATACTGGCCGGTGAGTTGTTGCACCACGGCGCGGAATTCAGATGGGGTGGCCTTGATCTTCATAGGGTTTGAGATGTAAACGACTTTAACTGGTTTTTTCTTGCTGGATTTTTGTGACCTTTTTTCGTGTTTTGCAGCCGGCAGCTTCTCCATTTTGTTTTAAGATTTGAGAAGTGAAGAAGAAAAGAGAGAAAATGGCAGGTTAAATGTGATGGTTGGTAGAGAGAAGGGGAAAGATATGAAGGAGAGAGATGTGGTACCAAGCATCCAGCCTATATATACACAATATATACATACAAATAATATGTGTATATATATATATATATATATAATGACAAAGAACAAACTTGAAGAGGCAATTTAACAATTTTTAGGGTTTAAGTCATCTTGGGATTGTTTCTGACACTGTTTAGGAAAAAACCAAGGTTAAAAATAGCTTGAGTTGTTTTAAGCCTTAAATTATACCACGAGAATACAACGTTTTTAAAGACCAATGGTTTTTCATGAGACCCGTAAGACCAATTCTCAATTCTTAGATTAGATTTACAATCGTCAGATCTGAACATTCATAAACGCCACGAGACTTCTCAATAATTACAAAATTGTCACCTTGCAACTTTAGACCATTAGATCATTAGTTTATAAAGTTGATCAATGAACATAAATTGGTTTTACGGGTCTCATGAAAAACCCATGGTCTCACGTGAACCCAATCTTATATATATATATATATATATATGTGTGTGTGTGTGTGTGTTTTAGTGTATATTATTCAATATGATAACTAGGGTTGTAAATGAACCCAACGAACACAAACAAATGATTGTTAATGTTCGTTCTTTTAACTTAACCGAACAAACGAACGAAAATCTTTGTGTTTATGTTCGTTCGTTAACATGCTAAACGAACGAGCCAAACGAATATAAATGAACAGGTCTAAACGAACATAAACGAATCGGTCTAGATGAACGTAAACAAACAAGTTTAAAAAGTTAAAACTTAAATAAATATTATTTGAATTCAAATTAAATAAATAAAAGATTATATATTAAATTTAATATATAAACGAACATAAACGAACGAACATTCACGAACATAAATCAACGAACAAAACTTTTGTTCATGTTTGCTCGTTTAACTAAACGAACAAAAAAAATTGTTCATATTCGTTCAATTTTTAAATAAATGAACATCCCGTCAAACGGTTCACGAATGGTTCGCTGAACATTCAGTTCGTTTACAGCCCTAATGATAACGATCTTAAAAAAATTACTTTTATATTAGAAGAAGAAAAAATCAGATATATTAGTTTTATATAAAATAGGACGTGAAGAACATTCAGTTCGTTTACAACCCTAATGATAACGATCTTAAAAAAAATTACTTTTATATTAGAAGAAGAAAAAATCAGATATATTAGTGTTATATAAAATAGGACGTGAAAAAAAGTTACAAAATAGAACTTGAAATGGTTTACAACTTCGTTTTTAACGATGACTAAGTAACGTATGTAAGTCTATGTTATTGTAATCAGGTAAATCTATAAAAATGTAAAATCTAAATTAAAAAAAATAAAAAGAAATTGAAAAAGTCATGTCTTGTAAAAACGCACTTCATGGCATGTCTCAAGGCGTCATGGCGTGAGTTATGCACTCTTACACAAAGGCCATAAACCTTATCGTAGTAGCAAAGACATGTATATGCCATGGAGCGCTTCTTAGAACCCTACAAAAAATCAAGCTTTTAGTCGGGTGTACGAATATGAAAGAATCGAAAAATTGTTTATTATCGTCATCTTTCGAATAAATAAACCAACAATAACGGAAATTTTCTCGTAATGATGGTGTTTAGTCTTATGCTAAATGCATAAAATACTGATGTACTTTTTAAAGTTTTAACGTTGTAATTTCATTTATTCTTATTACTGCAATACACTCTCAAGTAATTTTTATCAGGGCTACATAAAAAAATCTATCAATTATAGCAATGGTTAACGTATTGATCAAATATCGATAGCATGATACGGTTAACAAGTTTTTATACTTTGTCACAGTCCACACGTGTAATATACTGTTAACATGGTATTTATTATATCATTATACTTTCAGTTTTTCTTATTAGGATTTTGTGATATTAAACCAAACATATTTACAAAAGATCATCATTTTATGAATTAGAGAAAGGTAAAAAATCATAATCGAAGATGGGTACCAAAATTACAAGCCTATTACCAACAAAACGATTCGATATGTTGGTGAACATGAAAACCGACTAGCCATTATTGACTCACGACGGTTTTATATACAATAATGTTATATATACAAATTTGTGTCCACGTATTCATGTTTATAAGATGTCAAAAATGTATAAATGTCATAATAGATTGCGTTATAGGAATTACATTTACATGGCCAAACAATTGTGAGTCATATGTAAAAATGTTGTAACGAGTTTATAGACACTTTTGGCATCTTGACCAGTTTTTTAGGACACTTTTGAAATAAGAACGTCATATTTATTTTTTACATGATATTATTTGAAAAATGTTTTACCAAAAGTAGTTGTCCTATAAATAGACGAGTTCATAATTTATAGGGCACTTCTCAAAAGGGTCTTGTTAAAACAAGACTTTATATTAAAAGTGTTCTAAAAACTTGTAAAAAACGCTCAACGCCCTTCTATAAATTAATTTAGTACAACACTTTTACATACGTTGTACCATTGTTTGATTTTATAAACTCAAGTCTTATAAAGAAGTCTATTATGATCATTATATTTTTGACGTCCTATAAAGAAGTCTATTATAATCATTATATTTCCGACGTCCTATAAAGAAGTCTATTATAATCATTATATTTCCGACGTCCTACGAACCACCAGATTTTATTGTAACGATAAATATTATAAATATGCTATACTTGGCCATTATAATCCTTTTATGATTGTTTTTGGGATGGCATATATCGTGGATAACCTCAACATTGCAAGACTTTCACTGCAAATTAAAGACTTAGCAACTATTTGACAATTACTAAATGATTTGGTGTAGAATGATTTAGTGGTCAGAATAATTAAGAGGCTCTCATGATATAGTACAAAATGAAATATAATTGTTTGGTAATTGTGTACAATGAACTTAGGGCTCTTAATGGTTAAGGGAGATCCAAGATACAAAATCATTCAGAGGGTTTTAGAACCATTAAGATTCAGACTTTTTTTTGCCATACAAGATTCACCTTTTAACGATTCATAAGTTGCCTCTTAATGGAACTATTAAGAGTAAACAAACAACCGCTTAATGATTGGAACCGGCTTCTTTGCGCTAGAACTATAAGTTCTTCCTTTGTGATTTTCTCTTCACAAATATGCATAAGTAGCCTCCATATATATATATATATATGCATCAAGATTTGGAATATTATATGGAAATGTGTATCACTCACTATCACTGTTACGACTTTTATAATGTAGGGTATTAGAAGTAAAACTAGTGGCTCATCGTTTATGACTTAATGGGTTGTATGAGATGTATAGCTTATTCGGTAAGCCATATATATAAAGTTGTTCGTTTATGGCTTATTGGTCCAGTTGATAACTTATTCGCTAAGTTGGTTGGAGACTCTTGTATGCATTCATCCCATTCTTTTCCAAAGTTACCCTTTGCGAAACCACCCTCCCTGCAAATATCTCCTCAAAGTGATCATAAGAACTAGGGAGTGGATACAAATTGTTTATAGAGACGACATGTCATCGTTATAGCTTCTTGTCGAAACATGTCTTCATTAAAGGCGCGTCACTGAAACTCACTTTTCTTGTCGTAACCCGTACATCTACTCGATCCTCTCCAAAAGCTCTCCCTGGAATCTCGTTGTCGTCGGCCTTCATCCCTGCCGCTGCGCTGCTCCCCTTCCATTTTCCCTCTGCTGCCCTCTTCATAGTGCCAACTCCTTCTCGATGATGGTCCCTTTAAACAGTTTCTTTATGGGTCTGAAATCAATTTTTCATTGTTGGAGTTCTTCAACCTTATCCTTATCTCACTTTAGATCTCCACATCTGATGAGAGGGAGATATCATAGATCTCCATCACGCCATGGTTTAGGCTCTTTTTATTTGGTTCTCTTGATTTGTGTTATTTATTTAAGGTTTATAACTTTTAGTTTTTTTTATTTAGGGTTCATAGATTTAGGGTTTATAGTTTTCATTTGCTTATTGTTTTTATATGGATGCTGATGTAACAAGACTGCTCTACAAAGTTGTTTGTTGTTGATTTGTTTGATCTGACTTTTGCTATAAAAAAAATGTTGTTTTGTGAAGTTTGATCTACAAATGTTCAATGTAAAACAAAGGGTAAAATAGTCATTTTCTATATTTGGATTTTTTTTTCATTCATCATAACAAACGAACAATGATTTATCTGGATTTGTACAGACAACTTCAACAATACAAACAACTTTATCCATACATGATTTATTGGAAAACCAACCGAACAACCTCTAGATGTTAGTTGTTAACTAATAAACTAGTCATTTTTGATAAAAATAATTGATAAATTATATATGATTGTAAAATAACCCGAAAAGACTTGTTGAAAAATTAATCAGTTCTAACACATAAATTACATTAAATAATGTGAAAAACGAATTATAAATTAATTTATAATTATCTAACATGACCTAAATTATAACTTATCCAATACTTTTTTCAATAAACTTAAATTATAAATTAATTTATAATTATCTAACATGACCTAATTTAAAAATTGTTGGTCTTAATATGAAAACTTAGTAAATTAAATGAATTATGTATATTAAAGTTGGTGGACTTCTTGTGTCTACCCTCCTAAAAGGATTGCTACATATAATTTCCATTATGGTTAGCACATCTTAATTATGGTGATAGAGTTACCATGAAGATTTTCATGAGTACATTGGATGATGTTGACCGACTTAATGGCCTTACCATTAGCAGTCTTAATGGACATCACTTGTCAAGATGTAGCTATTTGTAAGATTTTGGGTTTTGATCCCTGATGGTCACCGGTTTAAGTCCTTAAGAACCACTACAAGCTTTGTTTAACTATTGAATTCAGGGTTTTGTGAGATCAATCGAGGCGTTCACAAGCTAATCTGGATACACATGGCTAAGAGGTCCAAATTTTTTACATCTTGAAGTAAATATCTAGATCTTACATCTCTCCATTCAATCGTCCG